CAATTTGTTTCTGAAGATTACCACTTGAAATATTTTCAAAACGTTAGTCATCTAAATTTTGGGAACTTGGTCTATGGGCTTCCATAATTTCGCCACTGGCTTACGTTACTTAGGCCTATCTTTTCGCCTTCCCATGTTCGAGCCTCCGGTAATCGTCTAGTATTGTTAACCTTAGTTATTGACGACTTCGCCGCCTACATATAGTCTCCTACACGAGCAAATGCTTGCCTTACATCTGATCCGTTCCATATTGCCAACTGCGCTATCCGAAGACGTCAAATAGCTCATCGTCTGTCCAATTAAAAAATATAATGATCAAAATATGTATCCTTACGATTATACACTCATTCGCTGATCCACTTACTGAGGGTCGCTAACATAATGTATTTTAAAAATTAATTTGCTACATTTTTAGATGCACTACAAAACATTCGCAACTCGCAATACTCGAAACCTTAGATTTGAACAACTTCGCCAATCCACCGCACCCCAGCGAAGCCAGCCTTCTCCTCCGACAATCAGTGTGACGCCGCCTTCTTCCACAAATTTGTTATCAGCTCCACTCAGTCCACGTAAACGTGTAAATGTTGTTTCCTTCGTTCCACAAGGCGCCTCCGAAGTCATTACCAAGTCTCCCGAGAAGCCAGACCATCCGAAACTCGCCGACAGTTGCACTTCGGATTCCATAGACCCCTACTCTTCTCAAACTTCCTCGCCACCGATCATTTCTTCTGCTGTTCCTGTTTGCGTGCCCTCAAAAACGGTAGGAAGCACGTTCCATATTGCTGGTAGTAAACGAACTACTACCTCAACTACTTCTAACTCATCCGCAACAGAGACCGCCCCCAAGTTGGCCCGAATGTCTACTCGTCCAGTCCTTAAACCCCTGTCTGATAGGTTAGGTCATTCACATATTGCGCAGAAAAACCTAAGCCATGCTGACAAAGTTAGTGAGGGCATAAACGATTTGGTCAGAACTAGAAACTCAGGAAAGTCATTGTCCATGCCTCCATCTTCTGTCCCGCAATCCAAATCCACAGAACTTGGTGTCCCAAGGTCACAAAATTTGTCCGCACCACTTTCTTCTGACCATCGGCCAGGCCAGACAGGTGCTGATGACGCGGCTTTACGTCTTCTCTTTAGTCCCAAATTTAAAAGGGTAAGCCTTAGTGCATCGCCCGGATATGTACTTGTTAATGAAGTTTTCCCACTCCATCGTCAACATATTTTGTACACTTGTTTTCAGGTTGAATATACTCCGCGATCTGCGAACGATCCAATCGACAGCTCGATTTCTACTGTACGTGTCTTCTTCTTGCTACTGTCATTTTCTCATCCAAATTTCCACTGTCTAATTCGTTTTTCAAATTTTTCTAGAAGGCACCGTGCCCCCCTCAGGAGGCAACTATGCCCAAGCCCTTTTCAACTACCACCGCTTTACGTGGTAAACGCAATGGCCTACCGTTAACGTCTCGTACTGCCAACGCAAACTGGAAGTCCTCTTCTTCCGTTCACTCTGCGCCTGCCTCGATAAGCGACCAAGCATCAAGTCGTCCTCCTCAACCCGTCTGCGAGAAGGATCCCTATGAGTGGGCTGATGGTGAGGAGGAAGAGACTGGCGAAAAGACACCCAAATTGACGGCCGGTGACGAGGACTCTGACGATGACGGGGTTAAACCCTGGTTCTGGCCAGCAACTAGAAGTACCGCCGCTGTCCCCGGAAAGAACTCGAACGAGCCAGCAAAGCCGGTCGCACAGAAACCCGCAGTCCTGACTTCCACTACCACCACCACCTCCAAGACCTCGACCACGTCGATCGTGAGCAAAGATGGGAAAATTCTCGTTTCGCGAAATGAGAAATCAGTAAGTCCTTTGCCATTCTTTCGTTTGGAGGTAACCGAACCTGGAATTTTTTCTCACCTTTCTCCTTCTGAATCCTTGCATGCGCTTCAAATGTCACAATATTCTTTTTTTAAATGCGCAACTGTTCGCGCACCTTCCGTCGGTCCGAAAACGCTCTTCACAAATTCGTAAGAAAAACAACCGATCTCATAATAAACTTAATTTAGAAGTGGTTATGTTTCTTAAGCAGCATTCTCAGGAAAAGCCATACGGTCAGCATATTCGAGGTCCTAGAAACGGATATCTTCGTCAACTTGGACATCATTTTCTTAGAGTACTATGGGAAGGCTAGCACCTATCTCACAGGACCAGTAATTGGCCATTGTTTGTAGGACGCCAGTGATGATGACGAGGTATTCGCTCTGTCCACCGTAATCAAACTGGACATCCCGCGGGCAAGCAGTAGGCAAACTCCATCTTTTCGAGGTTCGCTCTATCTTTCGAAGCGATAATGCCTTCTGGTCAAGTTCAAGAGTTTTTTAAGTAAGTTGCCAGCCTCCAGAATCTTCCACTGAGCAGTTCCATTGACTCTGACAACTAGGGAAGCTCGAGAGGTGTTTATAAGTCAAAAAAGCTTCTTAGCAGGGCTATTAGTAACGATATCAATTAGGCGGATGGTTCTGCATTTGCGTACTGCAAACTTGCCTTCCTTCCCGGAGTGAGCAAGTGGAACGAAATTATGCCAGTCTTTTGGAACCGATTCGTTGTTTCGCACACTGCCCCGTACCACTGAGTGGTAATCCCAGAACAACTCGTATAGGTTTCAGATGACAGTCCGTTTTCACAAGGTGCTTTGTTGGTTTGGGCCTCCTAGATTTCGATTTCTGGGTAGCAGGGGCAATGACGCACGGTCGCAGTCTTAGAAAGGGCTTTGCAGGTGTGACCATAAGGGCTCTGACTATGTGCATTCAAAGGTAGCAGGTTGAGCAACGACTCTTTAAGATGCTCTTCTTGGCG